ATTGGCCAGGAGACTGGCTGGCTGGGGACGGGCCGGGGGGTGACCCGTGGATGAGGCCCTGAGGGAAGAGCCGGTTGCAACGTAGGGGCTGCAGGGAGAGGGCGGTGGAGGTGGGCTTTCCGCGCTAAGGGTGGGCAGGGGACTGGCCCCAGGTGACCGTGTGTGACTCTGCCCACAGGTCCTCCTGGCCCACACGGTCCCCCAGGACCGCCAGGTGTACCTGGATCCCAGGTAAGGACTTCCCTCATTTCTGGCAGGGGCTGGGGCAGGGTGGGGGGGTGCTCCCCAGGAAAGAGGAGCCAGGCCCCTCCGCAGCAGGGCCCAGCAGGATCCAGGGGAAGGTGGGTGTGACCCTGGTCATCTCAGCCGCTGCTGTCCTTTGCTGTCTGCTCCCCCGTGCCGGGGAGATGTTGGCGTCCTTCCCGTCTCTCTGACTGAGACCCAGAGAGACCAGGTGCCTCCTGAGGACATATGGGATCGCAGAACGTCCACCCCAGCTTGTCGCCCTCCTCCCCGAGAGCCCCCTGTGTGTGAGAGGGCGCCCCGAAGCCTGGCGAGGTGGCCCCAAACCCCAGCTTGCTCTGCCTCTCCAGCTGTGTGCCCTCGGGTGGAGAGGCGGCCTCTCTGAGCTCCGGCTGCCTTGGCTGCTAAGACACGGGTACAGGGCTTCCCTTGTGGGTTGTTAGAGGGAGCAAGGAGAAACAGAATGCTGGGATGGGGTGTGTTTTGCGCCTCAGAGGCCTAGGGCCTGGGAAGAAATCACACCAGGGAGGGGCAGCCCGGAGGCAGAAAGAGGTGGAGCTTCCAGCGCCCCACCCCTCTCCCTGCCCAGAGCCTGTCCAGACCCAGGGCCCTGCTGACTCCTTGCTCCAGGAGCTCAGGCTGTGCTTAGCAGGTGGCTGGAGGTGGCCCCTCTACTGCCAGGGGCGGGAGTCTGGGCCTTGGCCCTGTGAGTGCTGGGACCTTGGGAGTCCACCCCTTTAGATGCTAGAAGAACATTCCTGAAACGCTCGGGGCGCCAGCCCCCCAAGCTGAGGATACAGCCGCTGAGGGGCCACAGGGCAGCCCCGTAGAGCTTACATTCTAGACGCCAAAGAACCAGTGTCCCATGACTGCTAATCTGTTCCCTGTTGTCCCCACTGTGTGTTTTTACACCGGGAGACACAGCATCGGGGAGGGGCAGGTGGGCACAATGTCTGCAGGGAGAGGGGGACGGGGGCACCCTCAGAGAGGAGGG